GCACTACTGTGATTAGACTTATACCTGTGAGGATTACGGCTCAGTGTTCCAAACACATTGGAGAGAAGAACTTACATTTTACTAGCGAGATTTAGTCCGCCACTATTAAATAAAACTGAGTGAATGCCATGACGGCCCACTGCTTTGTGATACCTCAGTGCTGGGACCTCATAGCGGATTTCTGTATTAGGAAGTAAGTGTATCCGAACCGGTCATGAGTTGGGAGCCTGATTAGTCTTGAGAGAAGTTGACATTTGTGGCTAGTCCGACTGTGTCTTAAAATGCTCCAACTGGAGTACAAGAGATCACTGTGGATTGTGAATAGATGTGCCGTCAGCTTCACATATCCTTCCATCCCTACATATTGTCTTCCTACAGGTGACCCAAATGAAATGAAACTCCTTATGGAAATATCCCATCTCCGTGTCGTGCGCTTGGAACGCCCCCTCCTTAACGATATAGACAGCATGGTGAAAACTGATCCGTGCTCCGGTACCCGTGATTCTTGTATACAACCCTGCTATATGCGGCTTATGACGGTGCGGTCGATCTGCGTCCGTTGCTGACTCGAGGAACGTAGATGCCAAGTAGGTACCAGAAGTAAGAGCGTCTGAAGTTCAGAGAGGATTAGCCTGTGGTTGAAACACAAAGTTAAAACCTGTCCTCTTTCTTCTAAGCAAAAGGAAAATAGATCGAACTGATATGCTAGATGATTCCTGTTCGAAAACAGTCGACTTCATCAAACAGCTATACATCCCGAAAAAAATAAATATATAAGCCCGACTCGCTTGATACAAGAAGTAATGTGGAATAATATTTTAAATATATTTCTATTGTATTTGGGCTGCAGTCAGTGGGTACGTATAGTCAGACCACAAAAATATTACAAAGATGGCTACTGCAAACTCCGTACGAGCCTTAAGGTTTCACTGCATCGGAATCCAATAGAACAACTCGGCTTTCGCTTTCCTTTTGAGAACTACGCGAACGCCAACAAGACTAGAAAGCATAGCATCAGGGTGTGCAGAAATGTGTAAGTGAAACCTCGCCGATTGATTGGATAGGTATACCAAATGAAATGATGAATCTAGAGTTTTAAATGCTAGTCTATTGGATTCATCAATTATACGATGGGCAGGAACTCCGATATGCGATCTAAATAAGCCTATCCCCTTGCAATTATCGGGGTGTTGGCACTTTAAATGTGGCTAGCTTGGAGGAACATCGAGGACAAAAAATGATGTCGGCCGGTACACGACGTGAAGTTGGTGAGACATGGTTCAATGGAATTTACCACCATTATCAATGACTGTACTAGGTTCTCAGTGGTGTGTAAGGAATCCTTACAAAGTTCTTTCTTTGGGGACATGGACGGAGTCTTCCTTTACCGGAGAGAGGGGACTTTTCTAGTCAACAAACTTTTCCGGATAACCATTGTCCTGCAGCGATTAGCGCATGAACCATAATTTTTCATCCAGTGTGTCTGATGAGTGTATCTTACAGGTTATCGAGGGTCATCTAGTAGAAGACGGACACAGGATAGAACCGGAGAAAGCTTCGATGTTGTTTATCACATCCCATTCAATCGATCGAACGCAGCCTGAGTTTGGCCACTGGCCCTGGCCGAGGCGATCGCCATTTGCTTACTTTACCCAAACCTGTGTGCCCAAAAACGATTCTTTCAAGCGCGTTCCAATTGCTTTGGCTCAGTGCGAAAACTAAAACGGAACGGAAATTGAACTGAAAAGCCAGGAAGCATCGGACAGCTGTTTTGACCTGGTTGAATTTCATCAGCAGTGCGAATCCCTCGACCCAACTGGGGATAGAACTCGGGACCTCACAGGCAGAACACAAGCAGGCGACACACGCGGTCAGTGGGCAGCTGATCAAACTGTTTTTCATTTTACATTTACACGATATGGCACGACCCATTGTTGCGAGGTATTTGCAGGCCACGGACCTGGCTCATGTCAGCAACAGCCTTCGGGGTTATGACTCGGTTGGAAACCTTCACAACCTGACTTCCTGTTTCAAGTGACCAATGGAGGATTTGATTTCCAGTTGGGTCGTTGGATTCGCACTTCTGATGAAACCTAACCAGGTGGAAACAGCTGTCCTAGCTTTTCAGTTCATGCTTCGTTCGCTCTATAAATGACGAAATCCCATTTGAAATTGAATTAAATCCTCTAATACTCATTCGAGAACAGAACGTGTCCCTTGACCTTAATGGGGAAAGGTCACATCAACTGGCACATTAACCGCTCCTGCACACACA